GGCTTCTCTGGTTGAGTCTTCAGATGAGACCACAGCCTCAGTTAGACACTTTGATTTCAGCCTTGTGTAGGACCCTGAGCCCGCAGCCTCAGCTAAGCCATGCCTAGATGCCTGACTACAGAAACTGTGATACAGTGAATATTGTTGTTTTAAAACATGAAATTTTGGAGTAATTTGTTATGCAACAATCAATAACTAATACAGTGCATAAAAGATTTTCGTAGTGGTGATAGGGTGTTGATTTCTGAACCTGAAGAACAATACAAACAAGGAAAGGTAAAAAGTTAGTGAGTACACGCTGAATCCTGCCACAGTTTTTTCCAGGGCTGGTCCTTCCTGCAAGGGATACTTTTTTTCCCATCTTCTTCACATCCTCTAATCCCTTCTTTTCTTCCTTAAAAATAAACTGGAGAGTTATCTTATAAAGGTTCACTGCTAAACTTTAAAATTTCTTCTACTAAATCTCCCAGATTATCACTATCATCACCCCCATATCTTTCATGATCCTTTTTCCTGAAATTTGTCACGGGTACCAGTAAGAGGGTGACTGTAATTAGTAATGGCAATGGTTGTATTTTCCATATACAAATTCTCCTCTACCCAGCAGCCACAGTCACTAGAACACAAAAATTAAAATGTTGGACATTACAAAATGTGGTACAATTAGGGCTCTTATTCATTACTGATGGGAATGCAAAATGGTGCACCCACTTTGGAAAGCACTAAGGCAGTATCTTATAAAATTAAACCTAAATCTGTCATGTGACTTAGTAATTGTGCTCCTAGGAAACTATCCAGGAAAAATAAATATATATGTTCATGCAAAGACCTACATTTAAAAATGTATAGAAGTTTTATGCCAAATAGTGTAAAGTTAGAAAAACTCCAAATGCTCATCAACCAGTGACTGGATAAGCAAATTGTGGTATATGCATACAATGGAATGCAACTTGGCAAAGAAAAGGAACAAACTGCTGACAAAATGCAACGTGAGAAGTGAGAGAATCCAGGTGTAAAACACTATCTACTCTGACTCCAACTATTCAAAATTCTAGAAAAGGCAAAACTAGAGTTATAGAGAGCAGCTTAGTGATTTCCATGGGCCAGACTTTAGGGGAGGAGATTGACTGCAAAAGGATAGAGGAACATTTGGGCTGGTGAAAACGTTCTATGTTGATTGTGGTGGTGGTTATATGACTGAGGCATTTGTCAAGATTCATTGAACTTTTAACCTCTATGGAAAACAGTATGGAGATTTCTCAAAGAAATAAAAATGGAACTACTAGTCCACCTAGCAATGCCACTGCTGGGCATCTACCCAAAGGAAAAGAAATCATTTTCTCACAAAGACATCTGCATTTATGTGTTTATTGTAGCACTATTCATAATAGCAAAGTCACAGTATCAACCTAAGTGTCCATCAACAGTAGATTGGATTTAAAAAATGTAATACACACACACACACACACACACACACACACACATACACACACACACACACACCCACCCATGGAATACAATGTAGCCATAAAAAGGAATAAAACACTTCCTTTGCAGCAACATGAATGCAGCTGGAGGCTATTATCTGAAATCAATTAGTACAGAAACCAAAAATCAAATACCACATATTCTCACTTGTAAGTGAAAAGTAAACAAAGGGTACATTTGGTTATAAAAATGGAAACAATAGACACTGGGGACTCCAACAGAGGGGAGAGAGAGAGATGGCGGCAAGGGTCGGAAAATGACCTATTGGATGCTATGTTCACTATTTGGGTGATAGGTTCAGTAGAAGCCCAAACCCCAGCATTATGAAATATACCCATGTAACAGACCTGCATGTGTACCCCCTGAATCTATGATTTTTTTAAAAAAAGAGGGAGTAAACATGCAAGCAAAAATAGATTATAAAAGCTGATTACAAAAAAGATTTATAACAAAACCATATAGATCATATTAAAATTAAAAGAGTAATTGAAATGAAAAATTTGTTGAACTTTGAGTGCATTTATTGCATAAAAATTATACATAAAAATTGTTTTTAAAAACTTTAAACCACCACATAGAATCAAAAATTGAAGTATTTCAGGTTCTGTTTCTTATCTTTACAATCATGGTGCAATCATTGTTCATTTCAAATCTATCATTTAAATGCAAGAATATATAGTATTACAGGGATTGGACACATGAGCTGATACTGCGTGTACTGAGAGCCAGTGTTATACAGGAAGTTCTCAGAATTACTTTACATGTGGAGTAAAATGGTTATGAAGAAAAATAATAAAAATGTGCTACTTTGAAGCTTACATGTATGTATTATTTAAAACTCAACAGTAACCTCAGCAATTATTTAGAACCTAGTCCAATAAATGATTTTGGGGGATGAATATTTTATCACTGATATTATTTAGAATTTCTGGCTCATGGTGATAATAAAAAGTAGACCAACTTGTAGTTAACTTTATTATTGTTTTAAAATTCTTTCTAGTGTACTCTCTATTGACTGCCTCTTGTAGGATAGACTTGTTGTCTCATTACCTTGATCACCTGTCCTTGATAAACTACTGCTACTCCTCATCAACAATTGTGGGTTCCTAGGACCCTAGAATAACATCACAAAGCCAGAGGCCAATCTAACTTGCAGAAAATTTGAAAACCTCATTATTATTTGAAGAGTATTATTGATTGCCTACCACATTGGGGGCCATTCTAGATACTAGCAACGTCAGGCGAAACAGTCACTGATAATCCAGGACTTTAAGTTCTGATACTGTATATTGATATTGTTAGTGAAAGCAATAGAACCTCCAACAGTTAAAAGTAGTAGACTTTTCTAAAAGTTACAGGTTGTCCTCTCTTCCCCTTTGATCATCTTTCTCAATGTCCTCCCAGGTGTGCACCTTTCTCCTGCACCATAATCACATTTCTTTAAATTTCAAGTTCAGTGCTCAAGTGCAGGGAGGCACATTATCTTTTTAGAAGCAAGAACCAACAAATAGTCTTTTGCACCAACATAGATCTGTTTGTCCTCCTTATAGACCTGTGACATTCACCTGTCAATCTGCTCTTAAAAGACTCTATCGGATGCAAGGTGCTTCTGAGATTTTTGATGCAGGGATGCAGCTCAGAATTGTAATTGGCCTCCTTGATATTCTGCATCACTAGGTAAGGCTTACACAGCAAATATCTATGCCCATCAAAAAAAGTCTAGGATAAAAGTTCAGGCAAGCAGTTCAGAGGGGATAAAAGGCCCATTGTGAAAACAATGGGAAAGTTAGTACAGGCCAAGTTACATCTTCCACAAACCTCTCTGCTTTATGGGGGCTACCACGTAGCTCATCCCAGTCCCACTGGAGTCTTTTCTTCTTTTAAGCCTATGTAACAATTTCTAACTTAACTGTAAAGGTATTTAGAATACATGTCAGGGCTGGAATTTGCAGAGGTCAAGAAGCTTCTTTATGATTAAGTGAATGACCCCAGAAGGTCAGTATTAGCTTCCCCAAGACTTCTTATCAGACTAGTGGGTCACTCATGCTTCCCATTCCTCCCAAAGAAAAGTCACACAGGAGCACAACTTAGATCTGTTTGTCCTTCTTATGGACCTGTGACATTCACCTGTCAATCTGCTCTTAAAAGCCTCTATTGGACACAAGGTGCTTTTGAGTAGTGTTGGACCTCAATACTAGTTTTCAGAATTTCATCACAATTTTTATATCTTATATGTTTGTGGTTGCAAAGAGAAGATAATCATAAACATCAATGAATTTTTTCTGGTAATAATGCAGCATATTCCTTTCAGATCAATGTTAGCATATTGCTTGTCAATCAAGTTTATATTCCACCTCCACCAATTCCTTTCATAGGCATTAGCTGATTTGAATGGGGTGAAGTATTTTAAAATCATGAGGAAGAAACATTTTTTATTTTGACTTTACATGAGCACTGGTAACTGGTTTTTATTTTCTTTTTGACATGGAGTTTTGCTCTTGTTGCCCAGGCTGGAGTGCAATGGTGTGATCTCAGCTCATAGCAACCTCTGCCTCCTGGGTTCAAGCAATTCTCCTGCCTCAGCCCCCCCAAGTAGCTGGGATATCAGGCATGCACTACCATGCCCAGCTAACTTTGTATTTTTAGTAGAGATGGGGTTTCTCCATGTTGGTCAGGCTGGTCTTGAACTTCTGACCTCAGGTGATCCGCCAGTCTTGACCTCCCAAAGTGCTGAGATTACAGGTGTGAGCCACCGCACCCAGCCTGGTGACTGATTTTACACACACACACACATACACACACACACATCTGGTAATGAGAATAACCATTAAATATAACTAATGTAATACTGTGCTATTTATATGATGATCTAACTCACTGCTATCTCACTTTTTGCTTAGTATAGTTTTGTGTGCTTTGCTTAAAACCTTTGAGGCCACGGAAAGGTTGGGCTTGAAATCAAGTCTTTAGGGCTATTTCACATTCTTTTAAGAGTTTCTTCAGCTGCCAGGAAAGATGTGTGCATGAATTCTCTTACCCACGTCAAGGCCAGTTACAGCTGCATAAAATCAATTCAGCTTTGGTAGATGATAAGTGCAAGTTTCCAGATGACAGAAAATGATCAAGCCAGTTGAGAACTAGAAGAGCTTTGGGGCCAAATTAAATGCCATTGCATGATGGGGAAGAGGAGAGGAAGGAAATGCACAGGCCAATTGTTGCTGAGATGATATGGTTTTGAAAGCCCTCTATGATCAGTGTTAACCCCTTGTTATTTTGTATATTTTCAATATGTACACAGGGTAGTTTGCAAGGAATGGTCACCCAGCGACAGAGGACCTGGTCTCTTCTGGTCACTTGTCCCATTTCAACTGTTTTGGGGACTTCTCTGGGAGGTTCTAATTCAAAGGAAACTTTTACTTTGAAAGCTTTAAAAGTCTTTTTACTCTACGGACGTTATGTGGAAACGCTTGCGTACTCTCAGCTCCATTGCTCTTAAAACTCTTAACTTGATATTGCTGGTGATATTTATATGAATCAGAGATTATTTTTAGGTCTGGGTTTATATTAGAAATTATTCACTGTCATTCAAGAAATATGTGCTAAGCACCCACTAGATACAGGGAAACAGGAACATGGGCAAACTTCCTGTTTCTGAAAATGCTGCCTAATCTCAGTTCCTGAGTGTTCGGCACCTTTTACTTTGGGCCCTAGGTAAAACCACAGATACAGGTAGTACTGATGGACATTTTCTTATCATGGTTGAAGATTTCCGGGGAATGGTTCTTTGAGGAACTACCTTGGCTGAAGCTCTCTTGGTTGAATCTGTAAGTACAAGAGCATAAGACAAGGCTTCCCGTTGAGTAATATAGCCTAGGGAAAAGAAATCAGAGAAACTTCAAAATCAATAATTTTACACAACAAATAGGAAAACAAAACTGCAAATATTTACTTATGTGTACAAAATTTCTTCTACTGTTGCGGTGAGCATGCCCAGATTATACAATCTTTGAAGACTGGAAGTATATTTTTCTTCTTTTGCATTTCTCATACAATAATAAACACATTAATTAACATGTCAAATTATTTGGAAAGAGACTGGAGCCATGATATCTTCGATATCAAAACTTTCTTCAAACCAGAAACATACATTTGATCTCTCTCAGTGTTTCTGAAAGTGTAGTCTGCAGACCACCAACTAGTGCATCACTGGGCTGAGGCCACATGCTTTTTAAAGATGCTTATTAAAAGTGCAGATTTATGACTGTATTCTAAAGACCTTCTGAATCAGAAAGTCAGAGGGTTAAGCTTGGAAATCTGCATTTTAATAAGGTACCTGGTGGATTTTTTGCACATTGAGCATTGAATACTTCTGCTTCTGGATTCATTGGCTTCTGTGTAATTTTGCTCTAAAAATAAAGCTACTAGATGAAGCTTCTAGTGACACTCCAGACAATCATGGGGACCAGACTGAATCCAGGTTTCTCTGTTTACTATTAAATAGTTGCATGACCCTGATCAAGCTATTTAACATGTCCATGTTTTAGTTTTCTCTTCTGTAAACTGTAGGTTATAAAGACATAAAGCTACTACATAGAGGTGTTTGAGTGTTAAATGTAATAATATCTGCAAAGTTCTTAGAAGAGCATCTGACACACAGTAAGCCCTCAATAAAAGGTAACTACAATTGTTGTCATTTTTGTTAAATAAGTTGCAAACACCATGCCTTCCTTTTGTGTAAATACAAAAATGACAGCATGAAGTAGATGTGCTAAAGACAAGTGAGCAGATTTTTGTTTAAAAAGCACTCTAGTGGAGTTAGGAGAACAGTATGATGGAGGGCTGCCAGCAACTGAAAACATTTCCTACAAGAAAAGGGAGGACTTTACATATGCCTTCTGGTAAGTTGGTGCTTATAATTTGTGAAGGTCTTTCACAACCATTATTTCATTTGTGCTTCATAAATTCTGAAGAGGTTGAAAGAAGAGGAGAGATGGCAGAGGATGGGGCTGAAAACGTATAATCTTTGAAGGTGACAGCTCTGCCTCGAAGTCCTAACTGACATTTATTACCTGTGTGTGATCTTGATCAAGTTACATAACCTGCCTGAGCTTTCATTTTCTACGACCATCAGGTGGAGAGAAAATGAGATATTGTACGTAAAACTCTTAGCACAATATCTGGAATGTGATCAATGAGCAATAAATCTATCACTGTTGTGAGTAAACCAAGCCACTGAGTTTGCACACAGCAAGGAGCTAAGCTATGCTTTGAGCCTCGCCTGGTTTTCTAAGCCCAGACTCATTGATTTATTTGATTAAGTTCCCACAAATCTCGGAGAGTTAACATTTTATCACAATCCATACTCGAATTTCTTTAAACCCTATTAATTTACCCATAAAACCTTGTTTTCCATTGTCAAGAATAAGCATTTTGAAACTTGGCTAACAAGCTATGTTGGTAAAATAGCACCTGGCAGATGCCATTGTACTTGAATTATTTATTTGAAAACAACTTCTGGCTGCAGCATGAGTTGATTCCTTAGGTGCTTGATTTCGATCACGTGGTTAAACTTACCAAGCAGCTGTTGGTGCTGAAGGCTATGAATGTACCGGGTCTGCAGGGCCTCCCACTGGGACCTGGCGTTGTAAATCCTCATAATGCTATAAAAGTAGCGCTGTTGCCCTCGGTTGAGGTTCTGTTGGAACAGATGAGGTGATTTTGATGAGTCTGTGGAGTTCCACATCATTCAAATTGTGATGTATTCAAAGCTAACTTTCATGGAAATGAGAGTCTTCTCTTGCTAAACATATATATATAATTTTTAATGCACAACAATTGGAAAATAAAAATTGGGGGATTTCCTCTGTTTGCTTAAACAGTCTTTTGCTAATCTGTATGATGATGAAAATATGTGAGTAAAAGATTCTAGGTAATTGACTTGAACTGAGGGACATGTAAGGATTTCCAGGATCTTACAATTTCATTGATCCTTATGGAGGAAAGTAGCTTGTGATGAAGTACACAGAACTGACGTATGCTAGGCCCCTGGACTGGTAGAAAATTTTCCACTGAAAGTTCTCAGTAAGCAAGCGAGACGGATGGAAGAGTAATGTGGTAAGGTTCATTATGTCATTAGTAAAAATGTGCTATGAAGACAAAGAATTAAGCTCCCTACAGCAGTCAAGGAAGGTTTCCTAAATGAGATGACCATGTTATCTGAGTCTTAGGTGAGGAGTTTCTTTAAGGGACTAGAATACTGGTTCTTAGAGGGCATGGACAGCCCCCGGAAATCTGTTAGAAATTCTAACTTTTTTGTTGTTGTTGTTCAAAGGGAACATAGAGTCTGATAGGGAAAAGACTACAGACTTAGGGGAAGATGATGGAAACCTTTTAGCTATGTTAAGAGTTTAAGGATGAACTATTCTAGGAGGAGCCATCAAAGGTCTTTATTTAAGACAGTGGCTCTCAACAGGGATGATTTTGACCCCCATGGGACATTTGGCAATGCTTGCAAATTGTTTTGATTGTCCTAATTGATGGGAGGGGGAAGGAATACTCCTGGCATTCAATGAGTAGATGCCTGGGATGTGCTCAGCATCCTGCAATGCACAGGACAGCGTCCCACGCCCTTCCAACACATAGTCCAACCCCAAACACCATACTCTCAACTGACAAGATTTGCATTTAAAAAAATAGCCCTGCAGTGGAGAATGGGCTCCAGGAAACAGACCATTGGTAGAGAGACCATTTAGAAGGTTACTTTCATGAAGGTGGGGAGAAGCAAGAAGGGTCAGGACTTCAATTACTATTATATACCTAATATATCTTAAGTGTTCATTATATACTGTACTCAGCAATTTGCATTTGCATGTATTTTGCATACATAATCTCAAGTTTTAGCAATCCTATGAGATGAGCAATTTCTTTTGCTCATTTTACAGTTAGGGAAGCAGATAGTGGCATCAACAGTCTAGAAAAATCAAGACAAAATAAGTTCACCCTAGGCCAAAGAATTCAAAACAATAGCAGAATTTTCAAAATGAGTTGATAACTATGCAATAAAAACTAAACTTAAGATAATTATATGTAAAGGTAGGATAAGGTGACTTTTACCTGTTAGACATTTTGTGTGGGCCTGAAATCTGTGAGTTAATGTTTTATTTTGTTTTCGTATTTTTGGTCTAAAAATCTTAATATTGAAAATATATCTAGAGTGAAAGTAGCAAAGCCAAGTACCTCATAATTTGAGACACGATTTCAGCTTTAGTTTCTGAAGTAGATATTTTAAAGGACAGCATATATGAAGAGAATGAATTCTACTCCTGAATAACTAATTATGCCTTTTAAAATGATTGAGAACAAGATAATATGAAAATTGTAAGCCAGTTTCAAGGGCAAAACTCCAAAGTGCAATAGGAGTTTCCATGGAAGATAAAAATCTTAAAAGTGATGATTTTATTTTACAAAGCAAAAAATGCCTACCTCTTTTCCTTAGTAAAACTCTAAAACTTCCTAAATGAGAAGTAACAGGTAACATTACTAATATTCTTTTCCTGTTGTTTATCCTTCCTTAAGGGTTTGAGAGAAAACTGAAATTTTTAGATTATTTATGAGAATGGCTTTTAACTAACTTTGGCCAAAAGGAGTTAACAGCTCTCCAACAGGGAGCCACAGTGTGGCCAATTAGTGAGTTTCCCATCACTGACAGTGGATCAGCCATGAAGAGGTGACTGTCTACCAGAGCTCCTAAAATGGGATGGGTGTAGGCAGTTTCCCAGGTGCTCATTCACTCTCTCATACATAGCCTTCAACATGCAGCAAGGGCTTATTTTGGGGCAAACATTCTTCCTAATGCTAAGTAAACAAAGACAGCAGAAAAAGTCCTCAAACCTTGAAGGAGAGACAGGTCACTCTATCTGTTAAAAAAAAAAAAAAACACACACACAAAAACCATACCTTTAGTAAGGAAGTGTCAGAGATGGAGGGAGGAACTCGAATGCAAGGAAGTTGTGGAACATTCCAAAGCTTTTGTCTTTTCCAGTTTTGTCTCATCGTTGATCCTGTAACTCTAAGAAACAACAAAGCATAGCATAAAATTTCTTTCAGCTCAACCATTTTTGGGGATGTACTTAAGTAAATAAGTAAGCTAGTAAGTAAATGAATTTTAAAAAATATAATTTGTTTTAAAGGATAAGAACTTTGCTCTCGTTTCCAAAAAATTGGATATCATCAGACTACTTAATTCCACACTTTTTCCTACTCTTACCCTTTATTATGAAAATAGTTGTTACTTATTTGTGAAGTTAAGGAATAATTCAGAGCCCTTGTCTTTCTGTTTACCTCTGTTTGGAACAGGTGGGTTGTAGAGTGTACTATTTTTATGATAGTAATTTTTTGATAATTTTAAGTAGTATTGATTATTGTATCTGATTCTAAAAGTAATATATATTGTTTTGAAGATTTGGAAAATTTTAAAAATTAAAGAAGAAAATAAGATTGCTCATACAAGTTGAGCATTCCAAATCTAAAAGTCCAAAATCTGAAGTGCTCCAAATCCAAAACTCTTTTAGTCCCTACATGATGCTCAAAGGAAATACTCATTGGAGCATACTGGATTTCGGATTTTTGAATTTGGGAGGCTCAACTGGCAAAGTTAATGCAAATTTTCCAGAATTTTAAAAAAATCTGGAATTCACAAAACACTTCTGGTCCCAAGCGTTTTAGATAAGGCATATTCAGCTTGTATCTAACTATCCATAATTATTGTTAGCATTTTGTTGATTTCCTTTTATTTATTTGTTTATATATTTTTTGAGACAGAGTCTCACTCTGTCACCCAGGCTGGAGCACAATGGTGCAATCATAGCTGCCTGCACCCTTGAACTCCTGGGCTCAAGCTATTTTCCCACCTCAGCCTCCTAAGTAGCTGGGTCTACAGGTGTACACTCCACACGCAGTTATTTTTTTAAATGTTAGTAGAGACAAAGTCTCCCTGTGTTTCTCAGGTTGGTCTCAGACTCGGGCTCGAGTAATCCTCCACCTCAGCCTCCCAAAGTGCTGGGATTACAAGTATGAACCACCACACTGGGCTTCACTTTCGTTTGATTTATTTATTTTTTTCCGTGTACATTGTATATGATTTTAGAAAAGGGAGATCACAATTTATATGTGTTGTGTACTTTCTCAGATCATTAAGCATTCTTTAAAAATACGATTTTTAGTGGCAGTATAGTGTACCTTTACATCATTCTCCACTTCTTGCATGTTTAGATATGCAATTTTATAGCATTGTATTATAAAATAAACTATTAAATTTGTCATATTTCCACTTGCCTGACAAAGATATAGAATGAAGGAGTCACATTTGCTATGATTACGTCTCCTTTCCTGGTGATTTAGGGTTTAGAGTCTGAAGTGTGTATAATATATGAATTTAATAATCCAGCAAGAATAAACATATTGGAATAGGTTGCCAAGCCACAAAGTGCAAACCCAGTGCTTACTTTCTCGTTTGCTTACTCCTTTGTCTTTGTTAGCAGTGTGAATTATTGAATGATAGAAAGTAAGACCACAGCAAATCAAGCATAGTAACAATCTGCTTAGCTCCTGGGCTGCTATGGCACCTGGGGCTAAGCATAGTAACAATCTGCTAAACAGATTATTATCCATACCTGCGCCATATACTAACTGAAGAAAAGAAACTATAATAGAGGCTGTATGGCCTTTAGAACTAGAAAGACTTGAGTTTCCTTCTGTAAACCTCAGCCCTCTCATCTTTAAGACAGCAGTTACAATACCTACCTCATTGGGTGTTTGATTCACTGCAATCGTAAATATAGAATGCTCTCACTTTATGCTAGTTTCTTTTCTCTCTACCCGACCTTCAGGCATGCTCATGCACACAAACACATGTACACACATAGGCACACAAACATACACATGCTTAAGGACGATTGTAATACTTACGTGTGGAGACTGATTTGTTTTGAGTTCACACATCAAAGGTTCCATTCTTCCAGATGAGAAATTTATTAGGAAAACATTAGTCAACATCTCTATGTGTACTGTTTCTGCTATATAAATGTATAAATTAAACTACAAATATTTTAGTTAGTGCCGCTTTCCTTCAATGTGCACTCCAGAAACCATACCAACCGAGATACACTCTAACATTCTCTGTGATTGACGCCTACACTCTATCCTATACTCAAATCATCTCAGTATCCCTCTTCCCATTTTCCAGATCTGTAGAACAGAAAATAAATATTCTTCAAAGCTGGAAAGATTTCTTCTCTCCTCAAATAGCATAAGGAAATGATTGATGCTCTTTCTTATGGCAACAATTCATATATGCTTTTCTGGGGCTACTGCTAAAGAAATTCATTTTACCTATTCAAGTGGCCTATACCTGATAAAATTTGATTAAAATACTAGTGGAATTCAGGGAGAAAAAAAATATACAAAATAATATATCTGAAACAGACAGATTTGCCTAAAAAGAACTTACCCTATACTGTAGTTTCCCCACTTTTAAGAGCTGGCATTCATATTCAGTGTAGTTTCCTTACATGGACTCTGTTCATATGGTGCTGGTGGTGGAAGTCTGTTGATAAGCTGATATCCAAGCAACATCATGTGATGAAACAAAGAGCTGGGGAAATGTGGCTGCATGCCTTTCTTTGCTTCTGGATAACATTCAGCTACACAGTTTGATATTTTTTCTTCCAAATTTTGTGTCTAATCAAGTGTCATCTTCTAAATCTACCATATCTGTGCTATATGCAGATATAGGGGAGTAACATGGATAGAGGCAGAAATGATAAATATTAAAGATCAAGAAATCCATCAAGGCAGTGGGCCATGACATGAATATTCCCAAAATTTGGAGTGAGTAGTCCCTTTCTCCATTGCTCAGGATGATGAAGGAAGAGTTCCTGAATACAGAGGTACGGGCATGAATTTGACTGTGGTAACCCATGAAATTGTTCCATAGTTTAAGCTAAGTTCCTTTTTCATTTGGTAGGGGAGTAAGATATTCGGCATATTTTATCTTAGTTAGAGGCTATACGTGATGATAATGAACCTGTGGCATAAGACTAGAGCCCACACTGACCTCATCCCTTCTGTGACAGCATTATTCTACTGGCTTCCTGTCTTTCTCAAGTGTCCTTCTTCTCAATGCCAGCTTATCTGCAAAGACGAAGAGTTTACTAGAGGAAAGGGAAGAAGAAATATCAAAAGAAAACAAATTCAAAACTCTTAGGAGACTAAGGGGAAGAAAAAAGCAGGGAGATAAGAGTGATGAATCATCTGCTTTAAAGAAGAAAGGGCTCGACAGATGCAAAAGTCTTGCATTTTTCCCCCCAATAATTTGAATGCAGACCTCATGGGAAATAAGCACAGCACAGACAAGTGTCCGTAAATGCCAGTAAATAGCATACAATCTTTCACTGGATCTGAGAGGTTGATGATTCTTTACCAAGAGATAGAGAACAGTTGTGAGCAGAGTTGACATTGTCAATCGAGTCTTCCGCAAATGTTTTTCCAGGATACGATGAAATTCATTCTAGGGAGCACTGCAGCTGCTGATGTTGTACACACATGCTGAATTCCTACCAGCTTGCATTGGTCACTACTTAATCAGGAGAACAGTAACAGATCTGGGTGTTTGACAGAGGGCATTTAATGTAAGGAATCTGTTATGAAAATATAGAAATGGGTTAGAGAAGTAAAACAAGGAGGGTAAGTTATCCAAGGACTGGCAGTTGCCCTAAACTATGATTGCATGTAGAGCTGGAGGACAAAAGGAAAGTAATTTTACCCACAGCCATGGATACTGTGCCACAGAGGCTGCTTCCTTTGGAGAACTGCCTGAGCAGCGACTCAGGAACCTGTGCTCACCAGAGTGCATTCACCCTTGCTTCTATGTTCTTGTCCAAACTGCTAATCTTACTGTTGCTGTCACCACTGTTGCTATCCGTTTGGCTGCTGCTGTTGGCACTGCCACAGGTGCAAACAGAAAATATATTTTTTAAAATGGCTTCTTCCCTCCAGCCTTTCATGTCCTGTCCTCCATTGGATGCCAGCTGGCAAGGGATTTTGGGAAATGTATTTTGCAGTCTTCCCACTACTCTGGCAAAGAGAAGGGTATAGAAGAATCAACATGAGGCTGACAGATTGTGGACACTCTCCAACACAAACACAAATCTAAGAGGTACCTCTGGGACCTACGAAGTCAGGCAGGAGGCTGAAGGACTTAGACATACAGTCAGTGTTTACCTAATATCACTGAAAGTTGTCATTTTATAAGAAAAAGAAAATAAGATAAACCTAGTTATGTAGATGGTATCAAAGAATGACATATAAATTTGTAGACATATTTTGAAATTTAAAAATGAGGAAGTAATGTATATCTTGTTTGGGACAAAAAATGTTTTCCCAAAGACCAGTTTAACATTTCAAAATGAATTTAAACTGATGACAAAAAAATGGAATAGAAACACCCATAATCTAACTACTATAGGGAATACATCAACTATTAGTAAAAATGATGTACTGTTTCACAGTTAAAATATTGGTACAGCAGTGAGACTCACTGCTTAAGACATTGGCTGATTAGAAGGTGGATGATAAAATGTTTTCATGGAATATCAGGGTAAATGTGACCTCATGGATGATACCAAGTGAGGAAGAGGGACTCATGATTGGAATCCAAGATTAAATTAAACTCTAATTCAAAGAAACCCACCTGCTAGAGGGAGAGTGCTACGGTATATCATGGAGGTATGGACTTTTCTGAAAAACCATGAACCCAGGAGGAAATGCTCTGCTGACATTCTTTTTCCAGGATCCTCTTAGCTGCAGAGATGTCCATGAGGATGGCTGTGCCAGACACAGACATCCCCCCTTGACTACCCAGCCTTCAGAGGATCTCTGTGCTCTTTAAGGAAGAGAAGGCAGTGTCCCTTTCCCCAGTCTGCTGCTGTTTATCCCCTGCACCCTACTTAGTCTTCTAGAGTCTTGGTTGAATTTTATTTCCCATTGAGCTATGTAGTCCCTTGAGCTCCATTTTTTTTTGGTGGGGGGAGGGGGGTTAGTTACTCCTTATTATCTTGTTTTCTCTTTGACCTCTTCATAGAAAACTCCTACTTTTCTGAGATTCCAAAACAAAAGGTGTCATGTACACCAAACCTATAGGACCCAGTGGTTACAAAAATAAGGATATTTAGAGTCTTAGTTTGGTTTATAAGAACTTCTTTTAGTGAGTGAAAACTACTTAGGACACTTAGAAGCAGTGATTATCAGCAAAGGAAAAACTGGATGTGATCAGATATGTGCA